ACGTTGTAATCTCATCTAGTTTAGTGATGATAACTTTACTTTTAAGTTTATCAGATTGATTTTGTGCGTGGCTATTAAATAAACAATTTGTAGGTTAGGTGTTGACAGGTTTAATAGGAAAATGCATGGTTAATATTGCTTGTGACGTCACATCGAAACTAATAACTAAGACTAATAACCGCTTGGAAAGAAGAGATATGCTTCCCAAAAAGCTACCCAATGCTGCCAGAATGCTAAATACTACTGGAAAAGACTAACAACTACTTGGAAAAAGAGATATGCTCTCCAAAAAAAAGTACCTACTCCTTCCAAAATGCTAGATACTGATGGAACAGATTACAATTTGCTTTGAAAAGACTAATAACTGCTTGGAAAGAAGAGATATGCTTCCCAAAAAGCTACCTAATGCCGCCAAAATGCTAAAAACTACTGGAAAAGACTAATAACTACTTGAAAAGAAGATATGCTCTCCAAAAAAGGTACCTACTGCTTCCAAAATACTAGATACTGATGGAAAAGATTACAATCTGACGAGATACTGCTTCCGTAAGACTACTTACTGCTTTCAGAGCGCTATATATTATTAGAAAAGATTACGACCTGTTTGGTGAAGACTAAATACTGCTGGGAGAAACTATTATCTGCTTGGAAAGACAAGATATTGTTTCCAAAAGACTATTAACTACTTTCAGAAAACTAAATATTGTTGGAAAGACTACTAATTGCTTGGAGAAAGTTAGATATTGTTGGAAAAAACTATTTAATGCTTTCAGAAGACTATATACTGCTGCCAAAAACTGAAACTATTCTTCTGTTGAGTGATATCTTTCTGTGTCCCTTCTATTACAGATTTAAAAGTTGCTGCTACAACACTCGATTCATTCTCACCCAGATGCGGCTATTGTTCTATGTCTAGTGTTAGTTCTAGTTTTGCACTAGCACTATCACGAGATTTAACACAAGACCTAGAACTAGAATCATTCGGCTTTGGCCGTCTTGTGAGACGTGCGCCTTAACCCGAATGTTTCTTGTTCTAGATCTAGTATTAGTTCTAGTTTTGCACTAAAACTAACACAAGACCTAGAACTAGAATCATTCGGGTTTAGCCGTCTTAAGAGACGTGCGGCTAAACCCAAATGTTTCTAGGTCTAGTGTTAGTTCTAGTTTTAAATGTTGTTTAGCGTTAGATTGTGGTATATTTTTATTGAAAGAGAAGTTCTAGGTGTAATGTTAGTCACTCCCGTATTCTAACAGTTACTGGGATGTTATAATATCAAAGCAATACACATCTGCAACTTTCGGTCAAGTGATATATCGCATATAACTGACCAGGGACTAAGAACTGCGCTAAACAACTAAACAAAACAAAAACAAACAAAAAAGCTAAAAACAAACACTGGAGGAACAATGGTAAAAGAGGTGCTGCGCATACTTTTTAATAAGTACCTTAACAATGGTAAGATTCCAGACACATGGCATAATATAGAAGCCATCTTACCCTTCAAGAGGCGCGATAACTAAACATTGAAACGCAAATGCTACACTTCAAGTCAAAATAATCGAAGATCTAGTAATCAATAAATTTCAAGTTAAGAAAGGTGTACGTCCAAGAGACACTATTTCCTCAAAACTCTTCAACTTGGTATTTGAAACATCTTCAAGTCGCTATCATGGGAAGCCAGAGCATAACTTATAATGATCAGCAACTAGAGGAGTGGGGCTAAAGATGAACTTTAGCAATACCAGAACAATCAGGAACACTGGCGAAAATATCACCAAAGATAACGAATTGGTGGAAAGTGTAGAGGAATGTATTTACATACATGCCATTAAGATGAGCAAACGAAATTAGACAGGTGAGATAAAGTGGAGAATACAAGTGACCTAGGCAACCTTTCGTAAATTAAAACACATATTGAGAAACGGAAACATACCAATAAACCTGTGGCGACCTATGGACTGGAAACATGGCGATGATGGGCAAATCAGTTGAAGGTCATGCAGAGAGCACAAGAGCGAGTTGTCCCTGATATTATCTTAGGAGATAGAATCAGAAATGAGGATATTATAAGAAAATAATCCCGGAGTTAAAGTGGCTAGGACAAGATCACGCTAAATAGACAGCGAAGATGACATACTGGCAGCCAAACATTACAAACCGCAGTAGGGGCAGATCTCAAGAAGATGGATAGGTGACATAAAGAGAATTGCGAAGAGCAGATGACTTGAAGTGGCCCAGAACAGAAAAACATGGAAATATATGAAAGATGCCTTCGTCCAGGAGTGTATAATTGATGGCTGAAGAGAGAAAGAGATAAGTGAAAGGTTATATTGTAGAATTTGTGAGATGTAGGGAGATGGGTTTCCAATTGGTTGGACTTGGTGACTTTTAATCATATAGGTATATACTGCGCAGTATAGAGCAGAGATGATGATTATTATGTAAGATATTACTGTGTTGCATAAGATATTACTATGTTGTATATTTTTATTGCACTAAAACTAGAACTAACACTAGACCTAGAACTACAAATATTCGGGTTAAACCGGGTTTTAGACGCACGGCTAAACCCAAATATTTGTAGTTCTAGGTCTAGTGTTAGTTCTAGTATTACACTATCACTAAAACTAATACAAGAACTAGAACTAGAATCATTCGGGTTTAGCCGTCGTGAGAGACGTGCGACTAAGTCCGAATGTTTCTAGTATTTAGTCTAGTATTAGTTTTAGTATTAACACAAAGTCTATTGACACACAGTCTATCTAAGTACAGGTAGTCAGTCGTTATGCATCGAAAACCTAAGAAAAACAAGGGTGTTTCATCCGCAAATATACGTTGTAATTTCACCTAGTTTAGTGGAAATAAATTAAACTTTTAAGTTTATCAGTTTCATTATGTGCGTGGCTATAAAATAAGGAGAATGCATGTTTAATATTGCTTGTGACGTCACATCGAAACTAATAACGAAGACTAAGACAAATAACTGCTTGGAAAGAAGATATATGCTGCCCAAAAAGCTACCTAATGCTGCCAGAATGCTAAATACTACTGGAAAAGACTAATAACTACTTGGAAAGAAGAGATATGCTCTCCAAAAAGGGTACCTACTGCTTCCAAAATGCTAGATACTGGTGAAAAAGATTACAATCTGCTTGGAGAAAACTAGATAGTGCTAACAAACAACTACAGACTGATTGGAAAGACGACATACTGCTTCCATAAGACTACTTACTGCTTTCAGAGCGCTATATACAGGGTGTGTCAAATGTGTGGAATATAACCAATAACTTCGCCATTTGTGGTTTTAAAGAAAAATATTTCAAATACAAGTTTCTTTATTAATCATGGCGCATTTCTTGGCAATATTTGGTTGTTTGTACTGTTTTTTGTTTCGTTGCTATGGCAACCAACATTGTTATTTTAAATGGGATGCATATATTTTTTTTTGCATACTTTGATAGAGGATAAGTCCCTCTATGCGGTGAACATATCAAATCATATGGTTGTATAAGAAAAAAATCGAGAAAAAATGCGTTTTTTGAAAGTATTAAATCAGCTAATTACAATCAAAGTAGGCGCCGAAATAACGCCGTTGACAGCTTTAAATGTCAAAAAAGTTACAGTTTCAACAATTATGAATAATTAATAATGTATGGTCATTGGTGGCTGTCTTTGGCCATCAACTTTTTGGAAGGTTTTTAACACTTCCGGTGTTAAAGAATTTTTTTAATATTTTGGATACTGTGGATTGTGTAATTTGGGTAAATATTATTGATCAGTGTACAAATTTCACTTTGAGTGCGTTTTCTATCACCGTACCCATACATTATTAATATTTGGATTCTTTGTCGTTCGCTGAATTGCGCCATATTTGTTTAAATTGAAGAATTTTTTATTTGAAACATTTTCTTTAAAACCACAAATGGCGAAGTTATTGGCTATATTCCAGACATTTCACACACCCTGTATAACTAGAAAAGATTACGACCTGTTTGGAGACGACTATACTGCCGGGAGAAACTATTATTTGCTTGGAAAGACAAGATACTGCTTCCAAAAGACTATTAACTACTTTCAGAATGCTAAATATTGTTGGAAAGACTACCAATTGCTTGGAAAAAGTTAGATATTGTTGGCAAAGACTATTTAATGCTTTCAGAAGACTATATACTGCTGCCAAAACACTACTAAGTGCTTGGAGATTACAATACTATTGGCTAAAGACTATTTAATGGTTTCAGAAGACTATATACGGCTGCCAAAACACTACTAAATGCTTGGAGATTACAATACTACTGGCTGAAGACTATTTACTCAAACTATTCTTCTGTTGAGTGATATATTTCTGTGTCCCTTCCATCACATATTTAAAAGTTGCTGCTGCAACACTCGATTCGTTGTCACCCAGATGCGGCATATCTTTTTAGAGGAGGGTAGGGCGCCCCTCTTTAAACGTTACATTCGGATCCACATAATTTACTGATTTATTTCAGAATTTTGTCGGGTTTTTTGTCTCAAATGTCGGGTTGGGCATGCGGCAGAGGGTGGGTTGTAAATTCCGGGTTAGGTTCTTCAGATGAACGGCCAAACCCGATACTTTCTAGGTCTAGTATTAGTTCTAGTTTTACACTATCACTAGAACTAACACAAGACCAAAAACTAGAATCATTCGGGTTTAGCCGTCTTGAGAGACGTGCAGCTAAACTCGAATGTTTCTAGTTCTACGTCGAATGTTAGCTCTAGTGACGGTGGTAGTTAGCACAAGATATCACTATGTTGCATATTTTTACTCCACTAGAACTAACCCTAGAACTAAAAACATTCTGGTTTGGCCGTGCGTCTTTTGTACACTTTCTTTTTATTTTTAACCTGTTTTTTGGGTCATTTCATATTGATTAAAAAAAAAAAATCGTCGATTTTTAAGCCACATGATGATTCTTAAATTTTTCCGTGAATAAAACCAACTTATTAAAACACTTTTTTATTGATTATCTCTTAGTGCTGCAATTCCACCAAGTAAAGGTGTTCCCCAAGGTAATATTCCACAAAGTATTCCTAGTGGAGCTACCCAAGATTCAGGTGGGATTATTGGATGGATGAAAGGGGCCGTTTCTAGTGGTGGAATTTTATCGAAAGTTGCTGAAAAAGCTAAGCATTCAGTAGATTCAATGATAACTACGTTAGATCCACAAATGAGAGAATATATATGTAAATTATTTATTAAATTGTAACAAAAAGTATTTGTAATCTAATTTTTGTTGTTTTTAGATTCTGGTGGTGATTTAGACATTTTGGTAGCATCAGATAAAGAAATTAAAATCAGCGCGATACGCGAGGCGTTTCAACAAGTATTTGGAAAAGCAACAGTAACGTAAATAATTTCTGAAAACGATCGCGAAATTTATTAAATTAACTTTTTTTACACCAAAAGGGGAATAGCTGCGCAATCGACTAATATAGCTCCTCAACCTGTGGGATTTGCGGCCGCTGTTAAAGCAGCGGAGGAACGAATACAAATCGTTCTGCACCAACCCAAAGTTTTAGAGCACCCCGCCCCGGTTGTTGCGATTGAAAATTTTATCGTTGAAGTTGGAGAAGACAAGTAAAATTAAACAAATTTATCATTCATTTAAAACTCATTTTATAATTTTAGGTGGTACGATTTGGGTGTATTAATTTTAACTGATCCAATTAAACAAATTAATCTTCAAACGTTCACTCAAATGACCCCAATTCCAACTCCAATAGTAAATTTGGCGCAAGAAGACACCCCCGGTGATTATCAATTGAAATGGTCTGGTTTAAATGTAACTATTGGAAGTCTCATGGCGAATAATTTACATGTAATTATTTTTTAATATTTTTAATTAATATTTTATTGATACAATTATTTTTTAGGTGCATAATTCGGAATGGCATTATGCATTAACAGGAGTCTCACGTAGAGAAATCATTTTAACGGCTGCCAAAATGTTGGCGACTTTATATAAAAACATAATCGGAAATTAATTAAAATTAATTTGTTGGAAACAAAGAATATCTATTTATATCTTGTACAGATTGATTTTTTTTTGATATTATTTTTAGTTGAACACAACTTACATGAAAACGTTTTTATTGTAATAGAATAAACGAGTTGTCCACAAGTTTTTTGAAGAGTGTATGTGATCGTTTTGTTACTTAACAATTTTTTTTTAATTAATCTTTTAAGTACTTTACTTAAATTTTCTGATTAATCATTGCTTTAAAGGTTAGGATTATGAATATATTAAGTGTAATATTCGAATGTGCTTTATGTTAAGGATAAATAATAAGAGTATGTTAAGGAAAAATATAAATAGGATTGAAATGATATAAATAAAAATCCAAATTTAAGTGTTGATTGGCTATTTATTATCATTTATGTACTTAAACAAATTAAAATAACTTCTGAAATTGATATTAAGGAAGCTATTTCTCTATGATAAATTGAAATAAGTAGATTTTGATCAAAAATAAACATACAATTTCGTCAAAATGATAAACGTTTTGGAAATTTAACAAATTGAGGAAGTTATTTGCATGGAGGAGTTGTTGAACAGACGATAAAGATTTTTATTTACTGTTTGGTAAATATTATGTAATATTAATCCTTTTAAGCTCACAATTCCAATAATAGAACACCCCCATTAGTCACAACGTGATTTTGCAGGCAGCAACACGTTTCCAGTAAACATGTTGATTAGTGAGAGTGATTGTTTGACGAATTAATGTGTTTGTAACGTGTAGAAAAAGTTGGAAACTTCTTTTGAAAAAAAATGGCTAGTAAAGGGGACATTTTCTATTTTTAAACTAATATTATCTATTATTTTGCGTTGTGTTTATTGCCTTAACAAGTCTCAACACATTTCCATATAATATCATCAATAATATAATACGATAAGTACAAAAAAAAACATTTTCCCAAAAGTTCCAATATTGAAANTGATAAACATTTCAGACATAACCTCAATATAAGAAAGCTGTCATGGCTGTCATTTCTGTTTTTATTTCATTTTTTAATTAGTAGATTTAGTAGGCGTCGTCAGAACTGTGGAATAATGGCTTCATTATTCAACACTTTGTCAGTCATGGGTAATGAGTGTCATTACCCGCCAAAAATCAAATGTATAACGAATAGATAATTCAATAGTTGTATAGTAGATAAAAATTTTTATTTATTATTTGGTAAATATTATGAAATATTAACCCGTTTATGCCCACAGTTCCAATAATAACTCCCGTTTTGCTCCCCTCCAAGCTTTGTTGTTAGTCACAACGTGATTTTGCAGGCAGCAACACGTTTCCAGTAAACATGTTGATTAGTGAGAGTGATTGTTTGACGAGTTATTGTGCATTTAACATTTAGAAAAAGTTGGAAATTTCTTTCGTGAAAAATTGCTAGTAAAAGTGACATTTTCTATTTCTAAACTAACATTATCTATTATTTTGCAGGTCCATAAAGATTTTTAATAATTTCAGACTCCTCACAACTACAGAACTCATTCAAGTAATAGAAAACGAGGATTTTTGGGTCGCTAATGTTTTTACCACTCCTCAAAATGTTGATGCTGAAAGTGCTGAAGGTAGCAGCAATGAAGACTTCTGCAACAACATCAATAACTGGATGGTCAACAGCTTCAAGCGGAAGCTATGGCGAAAATTACAAATCAAGGACGGACTTTTACAATTGGTGATAGCGACACTGACGAAGAGTCAAATACTGACAACGAACCATTGTCAGAAATACAAAATAAGTTACCGAAAAAAAGAAACTGGCAAAAATCCGATTTTATTCCTGGGTTTCCGAACTTTGAAAAACTGATGCAATCAGCACCCATTCCTTCTGATCCGGTGGAATGCTTTGAGCTTTTTCTTGATAATAGCATTATATAATTTTTGGCAGAAATGACGGTCGAATTTCCAATGAAGAAATAAAGTGTTTTTTGGCCATACTACGATTATCTGTCTATTGTGTTTTTCCTAGATGTAGAATGTGGTAGGAGCTAGGAATCGAATCTTGCATTATGGCACTAATTCATTCTATGAGAAAAAATAGATTTGAAATAATATAAAGATATCTCCACTGTGCAGATAATAATAGGGGGACAAATTTGCAAAACTACGAGAATTGATGCAAATGTTTAATTCAAAATTTTTGAAATACTCAGAAGAAGTGTTTCCAAGAAAGGCAAGTGTTGATGAAAGTATGGTCCATAGTTTGGTAAGGGCGGGGCAAATCAATTTTGAAAAGGAAAGCCGATACGATACAGTTACAACATGTGGCGCCTCTGCAAACCTTTTGGGTATTTGATGCAATTTGAACCATACCAATGAAAAAAACCGACGAGAGAATATGCAGCTGGTACATCAGCAGATAAAGAAGAAAATGCGACAACCCCAAAAAAGTAAGAAAACCAACTATAAAGAAACCAGCATTTGGTGAAGGAGTCTGCTGTATTTGGACTGATAAAAGTCATATCAAAACAAACTAGTAACTCATTTACAGGAAAAAGATATGGATATACGGGAACTATCAAATAGAATTGAAGTGTCCCATAATGCCTTCAAAAGTGGTAGAAAAGAGGGACAGAGGTGTATATGACTATTTTGCAGATGTTGCCAATAAACTAACCGTTACAAGCTGGCATGATAATAGAATAGTTCTGATGGTCAATAATACTTATGATTCTACGCTTCCGAAATGTAGAGCGGATAGGTAGATATCAAAATAGAAAATAAGGTTGCCAGTTGTTTAACTTCATGTAGTTGCTCAATACAATAAAATTATGGGCGATATAGACAGGATGGATGAGAACATAGACAACTACAGGATTTCCATTAGGTCGAAGATTTGATGGTTGGCAATTTTTGCGTTTTGTGCCGATATTTCAGTGCACAACGGATGGCAACTATAGGTATATAAAAAAGGACTTGGGTTGGGTTGAAAAATGGATTATTTGCATTTTTGAAAAGTTGTGCAAACGTATTTACAAAAATATGGTATTCCCCCGGCAGGAGGACGACGTTCCATAACTTGGCTTCAAAAGTGCCAACGCAAGTGCGATTTGAAGAAAGCAACCACCGTATTGTCCGCGCAGAAAAACAAAATCACTGTGGTTTCTGTAAAAGAAAACACGAGATAATTTCCACACAAGATAATGGACAATAAATAATTCCAATGCATTTATTATTAAAGTTCATGCCCATTGTTTCATTAATGGAACTTTCAAAAAAACTTTAAAAAAATGCTTGAAGTAACTTACAAAGGATTAAAAACTGCACCAAAATGACACTGGAAACGGGTTAATGACCAAAACATACAGTGCGCGGCCAAATTATGGAACATATTCAATAAATTGATAACAAATTTTTTTTGCAAAAATGACTAAACGGGTCAATTTTGGTTAATCATAACACACATTATGATATGTGTTTTTGCATTGTTTTCTGTGTTGTAATTGTTTGTTTGTATTTTTTTTGTTTTATGTTGTTTAGAAATTCGCGAACAGGATGTGCAAAGTGCGGAGGTGCACCATCCTGCTGAAACCAAATATTGTCCAGTAAGTTGGGGTTATTATTATTTGGGAATGCTTCTTAAAAGGACAGGCATCAGTTCATTCCTCAAAAACTCCAGATATCGTTGACCTGTCAGAACTTGTTCAAAGAAGAAACGGCCAATGATTTTATTGTGAATTATCCCTGCCCATACATTCACTTTTTGAGGGTATTGGGTATGTACCTAGCTTATCCAATGAGGATTTTCGTTACTCCAGTATCTACAATTTTGTCGGTTTACGGTGCCGTTCAGGCAAAATGTAGCTTCATCCTAAAATAAAACGTTGTAAATAAAGAGTCACATCAATTCTGCATAATTTCACAGAATTACATGCGGCGATCTGTGTCATCTTCATCGAGTTCTTGCAGTAACTGCACTTTGTAGGGATGGTACCTCTCTGCTCGTAGCACACGTAGTACAGATCGTTGAGAAACCTAATGATCCGCTGCAATTTGTCTCGAATTACTATGGGGATCATCTTCAACAGCTAACAAAATATTAAGTTTCACGCTTTCGTCGATTTTAGGACGTACAGCATGTGCAATGTGCTTAACATGTCCAGTTTCTCTAAATTTCTTCTCAATTTTGCTAACTGTTGATCTACTAATAACTCTGTCAGGGTACTTTGCATTAAACAAATTGCATACCTCTTGTTGTGTTCAGGTTTTATCTCCGCATCCAATAAGAATTAAAAAATAGTAACAAATATTGAACAAAACTGGAAATCAGAATATAACGTAAAATAACTAATACAGAACTAAACAACAGATAATACAAACAAACAATTACAACACAGAAAACAATGCAAAAATACAGGAGTTAATTGCTATAAAAATTGTTTCAATTCAATTAAACACTCACAAAACTAATTTTGACGTTTTTGAATAGACATTATTAAAACTAAACAAAGCGTTTCCATGGTTACCCATGGGTAATGCTATTTTTACGTTCACAAAAAAAATAAAATTTGTACTTTAAAGCTAATTTTCTCAAAATTTTCCTTATGTAACCCATATCGATATTTACATCGTTGGTCGCAGAAAAAATTTAAAAAAAATGTCGATGACGTCATAACTCATAAAAAAATGACTATCAGAAAGTGAATATGGTGTCATAATGTGTGTTATGATTAACCAAAATTGACCCGTTCCGCCATTTTTGCAAAAAAAAAATTTGTTATCAATTTATTGAATATGTTCCATAATTTTGCCGCGCACTGTATATAAAAAAGGAGTTGGGTTGAAAAATGGATTATTTGCATTTTTGAAGAATAGTTGTGTAATAGTACTATATTAAAAAACAAGTTTCGTAAGACATGCTTGAAATGCACGAATTCAAGTTGAAAAACGAGTGGCGAAGCCACGAGTTTTTTAATGAATGAGTGCTTTAAGTCTTATGAAACGTGTTTTTTATGCTATTTTTTGTAATTCGCGTTTTTATTCTTTTTTTTTAAAACAAAAATAAAATAAATTTTTACAAGTAGGGAAATAAGTATGTAGCAGTTGGTAACACCGTAACACTTGAAAATAGAAATTTGAATTGACAATTAGAAACTGTCAAAATACAAAATGTATTCACCTGACAAAAATGTTTCATGTATTCTTCCAAAAATAAGAGAAATTGCTCAGAGTTCAATGTCCTCATCAAAGTGGACCTTGTATTCGATGCTAAGAACGTGTTTAAACATCCATAGACAAAAATTGTCACATCGACAACTAAAAAAATTAACGACCCAATGCCACCAACTTGAACTGGTTCCATAAAATGTTACTAAAATCTCATTACAGCATCGGATGCTGTAACCACTGTATTGTCCACGCAGAAAAACAAAATCACTGTGCTTTCTGTAAAAAAAAAACACGAGATAGTCTTGTCAAAAATGTAAAGTCAATCCTGTTTTGTTCACTTCCACACAAGATAATGGACAATAAATAATTCCAATATATTTATTGTTAAAGTTTATGTTGATTTGATTGAGAAAGTCATGCCCATTGTTTTATTAATGGAACATTCAAAAAAACTAAGAAAATAGGATTTTCTTAAATATAATGCTTGAAGTTAAAAGGATAAAACCTGCACCAAAATAACACTACAAACACAAAAATCTTAAAAAGATAATTCGGGCATAAACGGGTTAATGACCAAAACATAGAAATAAATCTCAAAAAGTAAATTACATGTAGAAATTAGAAACAGTTTGGACATATAAAGGTGTACATTTAATTAATTTAGCAATTTTACTTGCATCGAGATTAAAAGAATCCATTCTCAAAATACTTTAGTTTATTTCAAAGTCTAAAACAGCTGAAGAGAATGCACCGAAATGAAGGAGGATGAATTTAGTGAACTAGGAACAGAATTTTTATTTTCTATAATACGATTTGTGTGGAAGAGCGGATATTTCTGAAGGCTTCACATCATTTATATTGGAGGGAATGTCTTTAGTGGGCAACATATTAGCGTGAAGGAAGGCGAACATAGTTTCCGAATCCATTCCTCCGCCTACAACCTGAATAATTTCCCAGAAACTTATTCCACTCAGAATGAATACGCCCCATATTTCCACCGTAAAAAAGCGATCCACGGACGTATCAATTGTAATACGGAAACGATGAGTTAAATTGAAATGGTGAACCTTTTGATCAGATAAGGAGACTTTCAATCATACAGGGTGTCAGATAAAAAACGCCCCAAGCTGTAACTGTCATTTACATTCCGATTTTCATGAGCATGGTATCAAATGAAATGGTTTGATGAATACTATGCTTCATGCTACAAATAATTTTTTTCCAAGGCCATCTTCATGGCCTTCGCATTCAATTTTATGCGATTATTAACTTTTGTTTTTCAAATTGCTCCATATACTTTTCTTCACGTCATTGGATAGAGATTGTTTTTCTGAATCCATCGATGTACAATACATCCATTTTGAATGTAATTTTAGCAGAGAAAAGACACCTGTATATACAAGAATGCCGCAAGCTGTAATTCTTTCATTTACCTTCCGATTTGTATGAGCGAGGTATCAAATGAAATGGTTTGATGAATACTATGATTCATTCTACAAATAAACTTTTTCCAACGCCATCTTCAATTTCAAGCGATTATCAACTTTTTATTTTCAAATTGCTCGGTATATTTATCTTCACGTTATTGGATAGAGACTTTTTTTCTGAACCCGTTGCTGTACAATACATTAACATTAATTGTAATTTTAGCAGAGAAAAACAATTAAAACCTTTCAACAATGTTCTTCTGTAATACTGTAGTGTGCCATGGAAAAAATAACTCCCAAAACTGATAACAGTCATTAAATGATATTTCAATGCCTGAAGCAGTTGTAAATGATTACTTTTTCCCATGGCATACTACAGTATAACACAAGTGCCTTTAAGAGAATGTTCGGAAACTATTTTAATGTTTTTCTCTACTACAATTATAATTAATGTTGATGTATTGTATATTAATGGATTCAGAAAACAATCTCTATCCAATAACGTGAAGGAAAAGATACCGAGCAATTTGAAAATCAAAAGTTGATAAGCGCTTGAAATTGAAAATGGCGTTGGAAAAAGTTTATTTGTAGCATGAATCATAGCATTCATCAAACCTTTTCATTTGATACCTCGGTCATGAAAATCGTAATGTAAATGACAGAGTTACAGCTTGCGGCATTCTTGTGTGACAACCTGTATATACAGATGTCTTTTCTCCGCTAATATTACATTTAAAATGGATGTATTGTACATAAATGAATTCAGAAAAACAAACTCTATCCAATGACGCAAAGAAAAATATACACAGCAATTTGAAAAACAAAAGTTAATAATCGCTTGAAATTGAAGATGGTGTTGAAAAAAATGAATCATAGTATTCTTCAAACCATTTCATTTGATACCTCTCTCATTAAAATCGGAACGTAAATGACAGAGTTACAGCTTGGGGCGTTTTTTATCTGACACCCTGTATAACACTAACTAGAAAACACAGAGTTAATGTGAGAGGAAGTACTGTTCCATGTTTAGACAACGGGTTCAACACTTATGGGATCTCTGCGTCAAAGGCCATAAGTGAAACGTAAACAGGAGTTTTGAACAACCTAAACCCGAAGACCACTTTCATACGAATAATACGTAGCAACCATAACATACAATAACTAAAAGTATCGGACAATTCGAAAACAACTCAACATCCGTGCTGCCCAGTGTAATGTAATTTAATATTAACAGCAAGAAATCATGATTTAATATATCAAAAACTTTGTAGAAGTAGAGTGGAGCAATTAGTATTGACGGTTATTATTACGGAATGATTATTTTTTGAAAATAACGTCTAATATAATTAATGTTGTTCGAAAGCTAGTAGCGTTTGAGGTCTATTTGCGAAAACCCTGGTCTTCAAATATCCCCAAAAAAAAAATATCAGGACTGGATAAATTAAGTGCACTTGATTACGTTATTAATTATTTAAAACAATTGCTTTGAAAACGTCAAGAAACATTCTGCAAAATTGTGTTCGTATTGCTAAATTTGCGGTAAAATTTTCTGAACAATTTAAATTTTGTAAGGATGAAATTGTAAGTGTAAAATTAGACCCCAAACATTTTTGTGTAATGTTCAATTTTTACAGAAGCGGCAATATTCATTTTGTACACTTTGGTGATCACGAAATCTTGTAACCCACAACAAAATTGTGTTGCGTGAAGGAATCCACCATGCTTAGGAATATTACATTTGTGCTGAAATTGTCGTAGCCACATGCCTATGGCTATTAAACTGCATTGCATAGGAAATCTTTTAACTTTATTTTAACTCGCTATTGACTCTCATATTCAAACAGTGGCGTTTTAAAAATCGTCGATACCCATTGCGTGTTTCCTGAAACCTTATCGTCTGATAGTTAAAATATTATGACTCAAATGAACACAACGTTACAATGCTAGAAGTATTATACAAAAACCATATAAATTTCCAGATTTTTATTTTGGGACTAAGGTTACCACGCCATACTACCAGACCGGCGGAAATGCAAATGTCTACATAATAACATTAAATATGTGACACCTTATCATATCCAAATTCAGATCATTTGATTTTAAAGATAATAAAAAACATATGTGACTTTTTTTCAGCTGCGACAGCATCAAACGTTAAATTCTTACTTACATACTTTATGCATTTTACTACTACGATAATAATTTAATAAATTTTGATTAGTAAGAACTTTGGTACATTGAATGGAGTTGATTAAAAATTTGTTGACACCTTCAGGATCAATCAACTCATTCAGCAAATAACTATTTACAAGATGATCCATAAGGCACGAGAGTCATTCAAGTTATATTTCTGTTCAAGACACGTTACTTTCGGTTGAGTTAATCTTGTCCCAGTTCCAGTGCCATTCTGCCTATCAATCACATAACAACTCTTTTATGTGGCCTATGCAATCTAAAAAGTTTGAAAATCTACGTCGTTTCCGAGTTACCATTTAAATACATTTCATATCACGATAAGTAATTTATCAATGCGTTCAATGTTCCACGTAAAAATCATTAATTTTTTAGAAAAAGAAAACAAAACAATATAATTACTTATTTGATGACAAGTTAAATAAGAAAGGAGTTTAATAAAAATTCTATTCAATTGAAATTTAAGTATATTAAAATCACAATTTGTGAATTAAAAGTGCATCTTTCAGAAGTACATATAACTTTCACCAAATTATCGCATTTTTTAAGTATCACCACATGTTCCATAAATAATATCGTAAAAAATAACTAATCGTTACATAATACGGTTGATTTTTATGAATATTTGTTCTCTTCGAGTCACTATAAACCAACAAAACAATTATGTTTTGAGGGCCTTCTTAGACTCGGCTCCTTTTAGATATTTTAGCCTAAACGTCCATTAAAAACGTACGTGTTACATACTTGTCGCATGATTACATTCAAGCTTACAGTTACAGTTGAAGGGAAGGAGTTTCATATAGGATAAGTTAGAAAAGACCAAAATAGCGCTCATTGATTTTGTTTTTGCACTAATAATTTAGTTCAGGAGTAAAGAAAAAAATCATTTCTTAAAATAAATTTATTGCTTCAAAAAAAATATAATAATAGATCAAAAATGTCTTACCACCTGCAGTACTTCTCATCCAAAATAATCGTCTCCTTTACCTGAAACCAAAGAAAAATATCTTTAGATATTTTCTTTTAATTTAGAAAACGTAACATTTTTTTGATACTAAATTTTCAGTCCTGTTGAGCTTATATAATACTCTCAGAGATTTTCAAGTATAATAATTTGGTCATCATTTACTTCAAAAGAATGTAGACTTAATTAAAACAAGAAATTAATTAATACATACCAGAAAATGGGTTTATGAAGCATTTGGAATTTAATTCTGTTAGGAACATCTACAAAAAATAATAGTAATTAATATATAAACTAAAATTTATATTTGAAATATTGAAATGATTAAATTCAAACATCAGCTGGCCGTTCTTTATGTCGACATGTATTATATTTCAGTACAGGTCTGTGAAGAACAATCATCATTGACTTTAATTATTACAAAAATGATTTAAGATTTAATTCTTACCTCATATGAAAATGAAAAGTACTCATGAAATCGCCGATCTTGTTATGATGCAAACGATAAATTCTGAAAAACAAATTTGAATTAATTAAAAAAGATTCCAAATTGTTTTTAATAATAAGATAATTGTTAATAATTTAAAGTATCAGTTGGCCGTTCTTTAAATCGACATGTAATATATTTCAGTACAGGTCTGTGAAGAACAATCATCATTGACTTTAATTATTACAAAAATGATGTTAAAAATTAAGAGATTTTATTCTTACCTTATATAAAAATGAAAAGTAGTCATGAAATTGCTGATCTTGTGATTAACTTATGTTGCAAACGATAAATTCTGCAAAACAAATTTGAAATAATTAAAAAAAAATCCAAATTACTTTTAATAATAAAATAATTTTTAATAATTTAAAGTATCAGCTGGCCGTTCTTTAAATCGACATGTAAGTATTTCAGTACAGGTCTGTGAAGAACAATCATCATAATCTTTAATAAAATTTATCATATTATAATTTTAATAAATTAATTCTTACCGTGAAGTTGGTTAGGCGATTAGAAATCAAATCCAAGAAGAAAAATTCTAAAAAGAAATGAAGAGTTATATTAATTAACAATTTTACTCTTTATATTTATAGTATATTGTTTATATTTTTTGTTGTAAGTGTAAGATTCCCTATTCATGTTAAGGATTATGTAAAAACTCCAAAACAGAAACTTAAAAATCTTATTATCTCCCACAAAATGCGAATGATAGCTGTATTAATAAAACAACCTACCACTGTCTTATTGTGGATGTAATTAATATTATAAAATTTAAAAAAAAAGAGTAAATATACTCACATTATTATTTTCTGGATTAAATCTGGTTTACAGAATCCTTAAATACAATACCTGTAATAAATAAAAATAAATTATAAAAAATATATTGAATAAATTTTAAATAAAAAATATTTTGAAGCGGAATTCAGTGTAAAAACCAATCAAACACGGTATTGTTCAGCCTGGGGCGGTATAAATAATCATCATGATAAATTATAAAGATGTTCATAAAAAAAATAATTAAAAAAAATACTTACATTAATTTATATGGGTCCCTAATTATTGGATTGATTAACCCTGATGTATAACCTCTGTAACAAAGCAAAATAAATGATGAAATGAAGTGGTAAGCAAATACAAAATAAAAAATGATTTAAAGTGGATATTCAGTATCAAAACCAATCAAACACGATATTATTCAGCCTGGGGCGGTATAAATAATCATCATGATAAATTATTATTAGCCATTCATAACAAATTTATTAAAAAAAAAATACTTACGATGGTTTATATAGATTTCTAAATATCTCGATAGAGGAATTCTGATGTGTAGCCTGTAATAAAGAGAAATAATGATGAAATAATAAGATAAACAAATATAAAATAAAAAGTAAGTTAAAATGGATTTTCAGAATGAAAACCAATCAAACACGGTATTGTTCAGCCTGGGGCGGTATAAATAATCATCACGATAAATTATTAGATATTCTTAACAAATTTATTTAAAAAAATATACTTACGACGGTTTATATAGATTTCTAAATATCTCGATAGAGGAATTCTGATGTGTAGCCTGTAATAAAGAGAAATTATGATGAAATGAAAAGATAAACAAATATAAAATAAAAAGTAAGTTAAAGTGGATATTCAGTATAAAAACCAATCAAACACGGTGTTGTTCAGCCTGGGGCGGTATAAATAATCATCATACAAAATTAAAACGTATATAAAAAATGAATAACAGAAAATTAATACTAAGAACATAGCATTGATGTGGATTGAACTCTTACGTTATTGTATTGACACCTTTAGCCAGCATTCTTTATGGTTAGGGAGATTAGAATCTTTTTGAGCTATTAGCAATTAACAGCGGTAATTTCAAAAAAACAGTTCGCTGTATATAAGATATTCAATGATAAAGAGCGGAATATTCGGTGACTGAACGTGTATTCGAAATAGCCAGTAATGTTGCCTAATTCTTTCATATAGATGAAAAGTTTAATTACTTGGAGTACAAAGTAAATACTCAAAGTAATAAATAATGTTGTGTCAGCGACAAATATAATAATAATAATCTTTATTGAGAACTCGTACAGAGACTACAACAAAATAATGGAAATAAAATAAAAAATAAACGTAACTTCAAAAGTTGTCAAAAAGAGTCGAGTCAATGCACCCAAGTAGAGTACTTATTGCTTTTCATCGAATTATATAAGAGAAACAGGACGCAGGTACTTGATATAATAACATGATATAAAAAAAAGACAAATGTAGTACAACATTTTGAGACAATAAAATTATACACCTAACAATTTAAATTTATATAAGTTTCAATTGGGTTGCCTCAGCTGAATTCCTTCTGCTGTTGAAGTAGCAAATGTTTTAAACTCTTCTTAAAAGTGAAAGCGCTCATTCCACCCGTATCAGTCATCACGACTACATATTTATTAACCAAATTAGCAATACAATATGAAAATGATCTCTTAAAAAGTTGAGATTTATGCCGTGGTATGTCTAACCAATGATGATGTCTAACACTGATGTTATGCACATCAGTGCGAAATCGAATTTTGTCATATAGATAAGGTGGACATTTGTACAGAATAAT